AACCGGGGCTGACTCCTCGGGGAATAGCCCAAATGCAGTGGATAGGCCAAAGGGAAGGGCAAAAAAAACTGCAAGTTGCACGCTCACAGTGAAACACGGGTATTGTTGATACATCACAAAACTGGGCACATGCAACTCTTTAAGCTCCCAGAGGCCATCCTGGATAGAGAAAAGAAATAGCAGAATTTCTGCACTTAATCTTAACAGATCAGATATTGTAGAAATGGTTTTCAAAACCTTTAAATCTAGTATGGGATGGAAAGTCTCTTACTGCCTTGAGGACAGTGACCAGGTTTGGGTATAAAACTTTGAAACTTCTTGTTTTTGGGACAAATCACTAATAACCATTGATAAGGAAGCTATGCCAGATCAGCAAAGTCCACAAATCTTTGAGGAGAGGCTGGCAAGTTTGTCAGCATGAAGCGGTGTTGAGGCAAAGATTGAAATTCCAACTTGTAGCCTATAGATACAATGTTCTGAATGCAGATGTCTGAAATGACCTGGAACCAGATGGCCACAAAGGCCAATTAGTATCCCTCCATCCCACTTTGACATGGATTTGCAGGACTTGTGGGGCTAGGATTTATACAGGAACAGACGTCCCTCCAGGTGGACGCCATATGGCCTCCTTTTACGAGCGCACATTGCTCATGCCCTCAGGGCCACGCTGCGGTGCAATCTTTCACTGGCCGTGTACCTCGGACACAGCCGATGACAGATCTGTCTACCGGCCCCGTTGCCAGTACCATGTGACCAATCACAACAGGTCACAAGACAGTTGTATACAATGGATGGCTTCCTTTCATGCCATCCATTGTATACAAGTCTGTCTAGCTGTGAATGGTCACAGTGATAACATGCACAAGCTGGGCCAATCACAGCCCAGCTGTGCCATGTGATTAGCCATTGCGAAATCACAGCTAATCACACAAAAAAAAAAAAAAAAAAAAAAAAAAACTCTGAATCTATTCAAATAATTAAAAAAAGATTCTATTTTTTTTTTCGTACTGTCACCAGTCAGTGTCCCTGATCACCCCCATGCCAGTTAAATGATGACGCTGTACTGCACTGGTGACCGTAAGTGAAGATCATTTTTTTAAATTTCTTCATTTTCCAAAAAAATGACAAAAGTTACAACTTTAAAAAAACTCACCATGCCTGTTATGAAATACAGCGGACTGCCTACTTTGCAAAAAGGGGTCATTTGGGGGATATCTGTACTGTTCTGCCATTCTTGGAGCTCAAGAAAATTAGATTGGCGGTCAGTACTTCAGGGGGTCGATCAATTTTCAGATAAATCCTATAGTTTTTGAACTCTATAAAAAACTTTCCTACAGACTAAATCATAAATACTAATTTGGGTTATTTTCACCAAAGACATGTAGCAGAATACATCTTGGCCTAAATTTATGAAGAACAATTATTTGCAAACTTTTATAACAGAAACAAAAGAAAAACATGTTTTTTTCTTCAACATTTTCGGTCTTTTTTTTTTGTTAATTTTGGCAAAAAATAAAAACCCCAGTGGTGATTAAATACCGCCAAAAGAAAACTCTAGTTGTGTGAAGAAAATTACAAAATTTTAGTTTAGGTACAGTGTTGCATGATCACGCAATTGTCCTTCAAAGTGTAAGAGCGTTGAAACCTGAAAATTGGCCTGGGCAGGAAGGGGGTAAAAGTGCCCTGTATGGAAGTGGTTAAACATGGGGATGTTCTCAACAGGAACCGGAGTCTTGTGAAGACCAGAAATGGCCAGGTCCACAATTCCAAGGATAAGTTCACCTTTGGGAACATGTTTCAAATGCTGCAACCACTGCCCTCCTCCCTGTGAAAGCAGTATAGGGAGAAGCTCCCTGTACAAGCTGTCACTTTTCAAAAACAGCGTTCTGTGAATGAACTACAAGTCCTGACAGCCTTAGCAGCTATCGACGTGTAGTTCATTGCTTCCACCTGTCAGTATATCTGCTTGCTCGTACATCCACGAACTGAAAAAGTCTTAACTGGCCTGGGGCCTTTTTTTTTGGGGGGGGGGGGCTGAAGCTAGTAACTATAGATGCTAACGAAACGGGTATCTCTGCAGCCCGGGAAATTTAGAGAGACTCTGTAGGACAGTGAGTGGAAGCATGCTTGCTGTTACTGCATTCTGAGTCTGCCATCATTGCTGCAATTTCCTCCATAAACTCAGATATAGTAGCTGAGAATTCGTCCCTAGGTAAAGACCTGAAGACAGAGCAACACCTGAAGGGTTTAGGAAAAAACAGAGTGCTGCAAGATTGGACTATCGTCAAATCCATTGAAGGGGACAAGACACCCCCCCCCCCCCAAAAAAAAAAAAAAAAAACCACTTAGCGAAACACAAGCTGACCAGGCTTCAGGAATTCTGAAGATCCATCTTACTGTACAGAGTTAAAGACTGCCCACAATGGTACTCAAAAGCAATGCTAGAGCAGAAAGGATTAATGCAATCTGTGAGGCAGCAGGGAGCCAACGTAATGCCAAGAGGATCATATTTGATATGTATTACCGCTGCTCAAGGTAGAGAGAGAGACTCCCAATATCCAGCACAACTCCTCCTGTAGGTGTTAGCGTTTACCTGCCAGTCCCCCGCTGTATTTCCACTGCCTGTATTGGTTTTATCTTGGTCCAATAAAGTGGATTGTTTGGAGTGCAGCCAAATGGACGTCCTTTGTTCTCATCGTATATTTGATGTAGAAAAAGGAGAGATATGGCAATAGGATCTGCATGCACTCAAAGTGGCACATGTATGCACAGCATGGCCATCAGACAGAACACTTACAAATGAAATATGATCCCTTGGATACTACTGGAACAAACTACCATATCATTTCCACCACTCTAATCCACCTTTGATGCATTTGGGGCAATCTTTATGTTTTGTTCATCAGCTTGCTTCGTGCGTAGCCGTTCTGTCTTGGTGGAAACTAATTCCTCAAAAAGGACCCAACACCCAAGACAAACAATTAATCACCTTTTTGCCCCAGTAATGCTTTGTGGATATATTTATTTCATTTGGAGAAGTCCCACATAGTTGGTGGTACACGGAAAAGGGGGTTTTCTGTAACAAATGTCACATTTATTGGCATGCATTTTTATTATGCATTCTAAGTTCCATTATGACTGATTAATAAACATAAAATTTCCAATTAGGTACAAGTGATCCAGCTTGTGGAACAGTCAATAGTCCAATTTCATAATGTAGCCCCTTGTTTGTGTAATAAAGAGGTACTCAAGGGTCTTGTATCGAAGCAACAGAATTATTGGTCGATGTTTCTTGCAGTGTCTTGTCGAAACATTGACAAATAAAATCTCTAAGTTGTCTCAATACAAAACCTGCGAGTGTATTCCACTGAATATGAAAAAAAAAAAAAAAAAAAAAGTAAATACTTATGTTACAGCCTGATAAAAAACAGTTGTTTAAATTCATTTTTTTTCCCCTCAATCTTCACTCAGTACCACATAATAAAGTGAAAACAGAATTTTAGAATTGTGTGCAAGTTTATGAAAAAGGAAAAACTGAAATCACATTGGCATAAGTATTCAGACCCTTTGCAACAAGACTTGGAGTTTGTGGGATTTGTTGGTATGGAGGGTGCACATGGGGAGACTCAACCCAGACAAGCAGCCACAGAAGACCCCTGCTGCAGTAGGAACCACACCGGAGAATCCCCAGGGCGTTGAGCAGAGCCCTACTTGCAGTGTTCCCATGCGCTCCCAGCCAGCTTTGCCAGTGTAGCATGGATCACTGCTTGCTCAGGGCTGCAGGGTAAACTAAAAAACTAAATAAAAAACATCTGCCCTGAAAGCCTAGAACTGCATGTCCAGAGTATCAGGTGATATAATTCACACATCCCTGAAACTCAAAACCAAAAATGTAATATATTGCAGCTTTCCAAGCAGTGGCTAATGTGTTTTTTGTTTTTTTTTTGTTTGGTGATCTGGCCAGTAACACCTCCTGTAGTAGTGCTCCCGCTCTGGATAATGAGCACATGGGGCACCTTTGGGCATCAGAATTGTCAGTCTGGAAGGAGGGGAGTGTTTTATGTACTAGCAGATTTAGATATACTAAAATTGAAGCTAAACTCCAGCTAATACTTTAAAGCAGTTACAGTTAATTTATAATCAGGTTTTACATAAATAAAAACTGATCATTGTAAGCACCCTTGTTAGTGTTAAATGGTTTGTCTAATCTGATTCTACTGGATATCTTGTTCAGACTTGCTGGCTGAATCACCAGATGAACAGAAGAAAGCAAGCTTAAGGATGTATTCATACTATGCGCAGTGGTCGTCATTTTACTGCATTGTAAAATGATGGTCACCATAAGGACATAAAGGTAACAATTGTTTTCTGTGTGTCCCATTCACACTGCCAATATACAGCCTTGAGCCATGCTGCATCTGCATTGCAGTGCACAATAAAGGACTGCATGTCACTGTCAGCAGCGTATCTATACAGTGACATGAATGAGGTGTACTTCTGTACATGCCAAATAAAAAGATCAGTGAGAAAAAGAAAGGCGTTGTGTGATGTGCTGAATTGCGCACCACACCACCCCCTACCGCAGCCGGAACAGACAGGTGCCAAGAGGAAACCGCTGTGGTTTACCTCTCCAAAAGCTGTCCATTGTGTCCACAACCTTCTAAAGAAAAGAAAAATGAAAATGAACGCAAACATCACACCTAAGAAATGGTAAGCTGCAACATATTACATACTGCACACAAAAAAATAGCAAACAAGACTATAGTTTCACTTTAAGGTAAATCAGTCCTAAAAAGAAAAAAAAAAAAAGGAAGACAATATTGCTGAATTCTCCAATACGAGTAGACTGCCCATCATACACATTTCTTTGGCTTCAATGCTTCTGTCAATAGTGAATTTGCACATTCTTCTAGATTAAAGTAGACCTATCTGCTGACGGACTGTTGTGCAGATTTCATGGATATAAGCACTCTGAATTTTAAATGACTTGCAGTACTCACCAACTCTGTCTGGAAGAACTTCAAGAGCAGATACCCTTTCATCCTTGTGAAGTTCAAGTCCATAAACACAATCAAACCCATCATACTTTATAAGATAAAGGGAAGGGTTGACTGGTACTTGGTCTAGAACAGTTCCTTTCCACTGCGTTATAGGGCCACTACCCTCTTTCCAGCCATGCTGTATTCTGCAACCAACGATGTTTCGCCTTGGCTGAGAAATCGGTTTGCTTGGTCCCATGTTATTGCGATGTTTCCTGAAAGCAGAATAAATTTACCCTAAATTACAGGGAAAACATTCAAATACAGATCAATGCTTAGCTTTACTTGCATTAACCCAAAAAGGTTAACAAGATAAAAAGTAGCTATTAAAGTATTCATGCCCTTGTAAGTCTTCATTTTTGTTGAAATAGAACATTGCATTTCTATTGAGCAGTGTAAAAACAAAGTTAAGGCCAAGTTCACCTTTGTAAAAAATAAATAAAAAACGCACATGATTTTGCAGGTAAAAAAAGAATAGCATTTATTTATTTATTTTTTTTACATTGCACCCTGCAAAGCATTGCACCCATTATCAGTAGATTGTGGGTGCAATGTCATGCTCCTGCAAACACTCAGTACTCACCTCCCATATGGGCAGACCGTTACTGAAATGCAGGAAGTATCAATGAACTACAAGGACGCTCACCGTTCATTGAGAACTACAAGCGGTCTGCCATGGTGGCATATGGGACTTTTTAGTTCCTTCATTCACAGAACTCTGCATGAAGGATGCGACTGTCAGCAGAGCCCCACACCGCCATTCTGTTTTTGAAATGTGACAGCGGACATGGGGAAAGGAAACCCTGCCCACTGTCACAGAAGAGGTTGCCTGCTCCAAAGTAACATGTTACCCCTTAAATACAGGTGTAACATGTTACAAAAGGTGAACTAATCCATTAAGTCATTAGTCATTCTTTCAATTTAAAATTAAAAATAAAAAAAACATTACATTACAATGAAAAAAAATTAATAAATGCATAAACACACCCCCTTCTAAGTTAAAATTTTGCAGATGCACCTTTCGTAGAATGTATAACTTTAATTATGTGCGAATACTGTAGGTCTATTAACTTTGCAAACCTGAACACTGCAATATCTCCCTATTATTCCTACCAAAAATGCTCAAAGCTCAAATGTCCAGCCACAAATTCTCTACTGGATTGAGATCCGGACTGACTCAGATCTGACTGAGCCATTCCTGGATATTAACATTGTTATTTTAGGCAATTCTTTTCTAGTTTTGGCTTAATACTTGGGTGTTTATTTACTTGTTAAAAACACAAGGTTTCTTGCAGATTTTATTAGCTTTTCTTTCATCATTTCCATGTATTTTGTTCCATGTTTTGGGTTAGGAGAGGGGGGCAGCTGCAGCCATGATCCTGATAGCACCACATCCCAATAAGGATGTGTAAATATATGCACAGTCTTGAAGTTAATATGCGCATCCCTGCGACAAAAACTGCAAAGAAAGTGACTAAAAGTGAAAATGTAAAAGGAGGTATTTTAACCACTTGCACTCCAGAAGTTTTTATCTCCATTATCAGGCATTTTTTTTTTTTTGTTTGGCACTGCACTACTTTAAAGGATAAGTTCACCTTATATTCATGGTGTAACATGTTACTGTACGACCAGCCCCCCCGAAGTGACAATTAGCAGGGGATCTTCTCCCCCTGCTAGCTGTCACAATTTAAAAAAAAAAAAATCATTCACAGAGTTCTGTGAATGGGAAACTACAAGTCCGGACAGCTTTTGCGGCTATCAGCTTGTAGTTCTCAAATGAACTACCACAGCGCTGTGGAGCACTGGGGTAGTTCATGGATTCTTCCTATCAGTTTAAAACTGCCAGGTTGTATGAGGTACAAGCAGACAGATTACGCTTACTGTCTGCATGAAACCTGAATGGCATCAATGATCTGCTGATCACTGGTGTAATTCTTCCCAGGCTCCTAAAACATAGTAAAATCACATTTTACCTGCAAGAAAAAAAAAAAAATTTTTTTTTGTAAAAAGGCGAATTTATCCTTTAAACTGGCAATTGCACGGTCATGCAATGCTGTACACAAATTAAATTCCCAAATAGAGATGGTTTTATTTTTGCAATATAAATAAAAAAATATATATATTTTCTACTTTGTTTTAGAACATATCCAATGAATTCAAATTTCAAAACTCAAATTTTTGGTAAAAAAAAAAAATCCCAATAAGTGTATAGTAATTAGTTTGCATGAACATTATAGACTCTACAAACTATGGTATAGATAGTTGAAAATTGAGCAATGCTTATGTACCAACAGCCTCTCTCATTTCTTGAGGCCCTAAACTTCTAGGACAGTACAAAACTCACCCCAAAATGACCTTTTTGAAAAAATAGACGGTGGGGCATTTAGTAAGAGGCAAGACAAGTTTTTTTTTTTAAGTTGTAGTTTGTCACAATTAGATTTTGAAAACGAAGAAATGACTTTAACCACTTGGTTTTTTTCACTTATTTTTACACACACGCGCTGCAAGGATGTGCAAATCCTATCATCCGATGCCCGGGACATGCAGTTCTGGGCGCCGGGCAGGTTGATTATCCTAACATTTAGCCCTGCTACAGGCAAGCAGCAGGGCTTGCTTAAGAAAGCGATTGGTAAACTCCGGGGCAGAAGGGCTGCAGCTGTGCATGCTCAGTGTCTGACACTCTCGGGCAGCACTTACAGAGTAGTTCAGGGTCGCCATCACCATAGTAACACTGTACTACTCAGAGGGTGATCAGGAATTTTTTTTTGTCATTACAATGAAGATCTTTGTAACACCAAAGTTTTCAATTGTCATGAATGGTTTACATTCTGTGAGTGGCTAATCACAAGGTACTGGGTGCTGCGATTGGCCCAGGTACCATGTGACAACTGTGGGCCACACTCAGCCTAGAAAACACAGCTTTTATGAATGAGTACCAGGATCTGATACCAGTGGACACAGTGGGGGGGGGGCGGCAAAATTACATACATATACGTGATTTTTTGCCTGCACCCAGTGATTTGTTTCACAAAAAGAAAGCCCATTATAAAAAAACTGTTGAATAAAATGTTACTAAATCCTTAAACATAATGGTTTTATCTATATTCTGTATACCAAACACATGTGCAGCGCATCCTACAGTCAAGGCATGCCACTGGTGAGAAGGATCACAGTTGCCAGTGAGGTTATGCAAGCTGTCAGCCAATCTTTCAAGCCCTCAAACAGCTGGTGTCATAGCTGGTCATGTATGCAACAAAATGGCAACTGCAGACCTAAACAGAGACTGAGATGGCACCTTGGCAGATAGGAGAGCTTTGTTCCACTTTAAAGACAGACTAGTGAACTAGGAGCTGCTTTGCCCCTAGTAAAAACTAAACTTGAAACTGTGTGTGGAGAAGAAAAAAAAAATAAATATAAATAAAAAAAAAATATATATATATATATATATATATATATATATATATATATATATATATATATATATATATATATTTTAAACCACATACGGTCACCAGTATCCCTGATCACAGTCACACCACTCATTTTTTTTTATTTATTTTTTTTAAGTAAAATTGTGGGGAAAGAAAAAAAAAAAAAGCAAAAATTTAAAATATCCAAACATTTGTGACAAAAAAAAAAATCTTGCCGTGCTTACTAAATACCTTGGTCTATTTTGACTGATCAATTTTCAAATATATACCTTTAGCTTGTAGACTAGCGTTCACACATACTAAATGTACATGGGTTTGGGTTATTTTTATCAAAGAAATGTAGCAGACTACATTTTAGCCTAAATTTATGAAGAAAGATTGCAGAAAATTTTATTTTTTCATTTATCTAGCGAAAAAAAAAAAAAAACCCTGTAGTGAATAAATACTACCAAATGGAAGCTCTATTTGTGTGAAAAAACGATATAAATTTCATCTGAATAGCGTTGCTAAAATAGCTACAAAATGCTAAATAGCAAAATAAAAATGCTCTGGTCACGAAGGGGGTAAAACCTTCCAGAGGTCTAGCTTTTATTTATTCAGGTAAATACTTTATCCCAAAAGAAAAATATGTTTGCTGTAGCTGATTCCAAAGCGTTAGCTGGAGTTTGGCTTCAATTTGTTATTTGTATTTAAATCTAATTGAACACAACTTCCTCTCAGACTGACAATGCTCCTGTCTGATGTGCTGCTCATTCCTCCAAAGCGGGGTTTCACTAATACAGGAGCAGTGTTACTGGCCAAATAACCAGGTGAATACAGAGGGAAAAAAAAAATGTATGCAAGCATCTCATCTAGTGACATGTAAGCTGCAATAGAATACATTTTTGGTTTAATAAAGTTTTAATAAAAAGTGCCAGTTAGCTACTACCATTTAATTTTTAAAAATTATTATACAGGATTTTTATAGCGCCAACAATTTATACAAAGCGCATTACAACATAAAGACAGACAGTAGAATTACAATACAAATTAATACAGGAGGATCCAGAGGGCCCTGCTCGTTAGAGCTTACAATCTAAGAGAGGGTCAAGAGATACAAAAAGGTATTAACTGTGAGGGACGGGCTGATGGACAAAATACATGTACAGCTGTTAGGTGCTGGCAGGATAGGCCTCTCTGAAGAGAGATGTGTTTTCAGGGATTGTCTAAAAGTGGACAGAGATGGAGATAGTTGGATACATTGGGGAAGGGAGTTCCAAAGGATGGGAGCAGCTCTGGAGAAATTCTGGAGGCAAGCATGGGGGGAGGTGACAAGGGAGCTAGAGAGCAGGAGGTCTTGGGAGGAACGAAGGACGATTTGCTTGGTATTTTGAGACCAGGTTAGTGATTTAACTAGGGGATAAGTAGTGGATGGAAGTTGTAGTAAGTATCTTGAATTTTATTCATTGGGTGAGTGGGAGCCAGTGGAGGGACTGGCAAAGAGGGGTGGCAGACACTGTACAGTTTAAGGTGGAGGAATCTGGAGGCAACATTCTTGATGGACTGGAGGGGGGATAGCCTATGCAAAGCTAAACCAGTGAGGAGGGAGTTGCAGTAGTCAAGGCGGGAGATGACCAGGGAGTGAGTTAGAAGCTTTGTGGTGTCATTGGTTAGGAAGGGGCGTATCTTGGGGATGTTGCAGTGGACAGCGATTGGATGTGGGACCAAAAGGATAGTTCAGAGTCCAGGATTATACCTAGCAAACTGGTACGTGGTGACAGGTTGATGGCTGAGCCATTTATTTTTACAGAGAAAACCAGGGGAAGAGGCACGTAGGAGAGGAAATATGAGCTCAGTTTTGGATAGATTGATTTTCAGGAAATGGTGTGACTTCCAGGCTGATAGGTCTGTTAGTAGGTTAGTGATGCATGAGGAGACCGATTGAGTGAGCTGAGGGGTAGAGAGATAGATTTGAGTGTCAACAGCAAAGAAATGGTATTGAAAGCCATGGGAGGCAATCAACTGACCCAGAGAATAAAATGTATATTGCGAATAGGAGGGGTCCCAGAACAGAACCTTGGGAAACCCCAACGGAGAAAGGAGAGGAGAAGATGAAGTAGACAATTGTGGCAATTAAGGTGCGGTGGGATAGGATACGAATCAACGAAGAGCACAGTCACAGAGACCAAAGGAGTCGATTATTTTTGAAGGAGGAGGAAGTGGTCCACTGTGTCAAATGCAGCAGATAGGTCTAAGAGTACAGAAGAGTGTCCATTGGTTTTAGCAGTTAATAGATAGTTTGTAAGTTGAGGAGAGCTGTTTCGGTGGAGTGCGGAGAGCATAATCCAGACTGAAGGGGATCAAGGTTATTCAGTGAGGTTGCTCAGCAGGTTGTAGACCAGACTTTCAAGAAGTGTAAAGGAAAAGGGGAGTAAGGAGATGGGTCGTATGGTGTTAAGATTGGTGGGGTCTAGTGAGGGCGTTTTAAGTAAGGAGGCGACTAGAGCATGTTTTAGAGAATTGGGGAAGATGCCGAGAAGAGAGGAGATTGAAGATGTGAGTTAGAGTGTAGGATAAAGTCAGAGGGTGACCGTAGCATTGGCGACGGAACAGGGTTCAGGGGGCACGTGGTCGTTAGAAAAATGTTTAGAAACCTCGTAGTAATTGTCCCTGTGGATGTGGAGTGGTAAGTAGGGGAGTGCAAAAAGTAGTGATTGTCCCTGTGGATGTGGAGTGGTAAGTAGGGGAGTGCAGGAAGTAGTGATTGTCCCTGTGGATGTGGAGTGGTAAGTGGGGGAGGTATCTGCACATTGGACATTTTCTGTTCACACAGTTTAGAAAAGGAAAGGTTAAAGCTGGTTGGCTGTGCTCCAGCTGAAACAAAATTGGTCCCAGATTCCCTATATGTCGGTCTTGAATTGTGTCATCAAAAAACACACGTAAAAAAAAAAAAGGTAGGTAATATTTCTGAAACTGAAAAGTCTGTAGGGACCAGTGACCCAGGATATAATCCAGACATCCTTCAGAGCAGTATTACCATTTCAGGTTTTTTTAATACCTTTCCATACTTACTTGTGAGAGGTCCTTTTCTTCATCATATTTGCTGAGACACCTGCATGTGCTAGAAAAGAAAAGAAAAAAAAAAAAAAGAAAAAAATTAAGATGCATCTAAGTCTCAACCGAAATAATCATCCAGAACTTCACTGAGACTTAAAGTATAACTAAAGGCAACGCTTTTCGGTTTTGGACAGAGTGTAGATGAATTGGAACACATTTAGGATTTTATGGCTTTCAGTGTTCCCATTAGGGAGATTTATCCTCTCCTTTTGTCCTGTTTACCATTATCATTGAAAGCGAAAGGAAAAAGAAACCCCAAATTGTGTAGTTCCTAGAAAAGTAAGAGTGGAACTCTTCCAATGGGGACACTAGTTCTCGTGACCCGGGGTCCCCAAGGTATGCAGGTATTTCCTCTCACTCTTTATGTCATTGGAGAGACTTCTCCACTTCCTGTCCTGTATTAAAAAGGACAGGTATTATAACCCTAACTCTAACCAGAATGGAGGGGAAAAAAAAAAAAAGAAGAAGTTTTGCCAACAGTTCTATTTTAATTAGAGAACTACGATGCATTATGACTTTTCAGCGATTAGGAAAGTAATAAAATTGAAAGATGGAAAGATATGAATGCGGTTTTACTGCTTACTACTAGGACTGCTGCTGTGTGATATGAAGGCAGCAGAGATCGTAACTCACATACGTCAAACGGAATCTCAGCCCCTCCTACTGTATTCCCTTAGACTAGCAAAGAGCAAGGAGAATACCACATGACCGCACAGCAAGCAGTACTGTTCTAGACATGTAAAAGAAAAAAAAAAAAAAAAAAAAAAAAAACACACCACCACACACACGATTTCAACCAAACAGGGTACAGCTGAATTCCTGCATAAGGGATAAGATTTTTATATCAATTTTGATTTAGGACATGTGATGAAGTTTTACCTGCATCAGCTCTTGATCGCTGAGTGGCCGCCTTTCCAAATGGAGTCTTCATTCATCTGTATATGAGAGGGCAGCAAAGCTGCCAAGCTATGGAGAAAGTTTTGGTCACTCCCAAGCTTGGTGTAGTGGTTTCCATACACATGAAACGGATCCCTTTCTTTTCACCTTGCAGGTGAAGATCTGTGTCAGCCTAAAAATTTTCTTGTCAAAGAATAGTTTTGCCTATCAAAAAAAGAAAAATACTATAAATACAACACTAAATGTCATTCTGAAATACCAAAAAATACCATCATCCACTAAAAAAATCTGCAGTCTATGCAGTCAAATGTTACTTTTTTTAATTTAAAAAAATGACAACCAGTACAGATTAACATTTTCCATACAGTTACCAGTTATGTGAATATTACATTTACGTGGATTTTTTTTATGATCAGATTTCATTTAAATCCTTTTAACACATTTTGAGAACACAACAAAAAACACAAGCTGGGAGCCAAAAATTCAGTATGTCCTATATGCTGTGACACTGCTTTATTTGCATAAGTGCCAATTGAGCCAATTCCCAATCAAATCGTTTATTGGCAACGGATGGTTGTGTTGAAGAATCCCGGGGAAGCCAGGTGTCTAACAAATTTAAAGCAGCGCTACAAAGCAGACTCCTCACAGAATTCATATAGACTGGCGCAGACAGATTTTGCAAAGTGTTTGATGTGTTGTAAAAGTAGTGACAAATAAGCCAAATTCATGTACCGGTGTAAAGCTTGTACTTGAATTTGGCTCATGCTGCGCCACTTTTAGAATGCACTTGAGACACTTTCGCAAGAATTTGTCTGAGCCAGTTTCTCTCTCTGTACGCCAAAACGGAGTTGGTTTTACAACTTGGTGCAGGAGTCTATCAAAATCAAAGTGTTGCAAATGCTTCATGAATTTAGTGCAATACAGAAACAAGAGGAATTAATGCCGGAAAAGTAACGCAGCAGCTTTACTGAATTCCCCTCCAATATGTCTAAACATAGGGGTAGATATTTCACATACTCCAAGAAGTCCATTTATAGAAAAAATTGTTGTTAGGCGAGTGTTACAAGCATCCACTCCTATCCTTGAGGATTTCTGCATTATCAGCTGGCCATGATGCAGTATTTTTTTTTTTTTTCTTTTTAAGATGCCTCATTCAGAAAAAATACAGCATTATGGCCACTAGACATAAGAATCATTGCTCACATGTCAAAAAAACAAAAAAAAAAAACAAAAAAACTAGACTTCCCAAAAGGGGAGGCTCTGCTTGCTTGCTCCCTTCACTGGCACATTTTGCACTTTGGGGGGTGGAGCAGGTACCTGGTTTTGACAGGTACCGGAGCCAGAAGTTCCTTCCCCCCTGCAGTCTTCTGGGACACTTGACAGGTCCCATAACTCTACAGGGCCAACCACTTTCACAGATCACACTGCTGTGCGGCTCCTTTTGACAGGATGTTATAGGACGTCCAGTCAGAAGGAGGAGTGTCCCGCCCGGCAGTCAATCTGCTGTAGCTGGGCGGGACACTCCTTGTGACTGTATGTTATAAGACATCCTGTCAAAAGGAGCTGAGCAGCGGTCTGATCGTCACCAGCTGTGTCCACGGGACAGCCGATGATGACATATCACACCACCGAACCACTGCCAGTGTCATGTGACCAATCACCTTTCATGCCATCCATTGTATACAATTGTGTTGTTCGCTGTGATTGGTCAAAGCAGTTACATGGTACAGACAGGGCCAATCACAGCCCATCTGAGCTTTGCCCAATCACAACAAAAGACTGAATTAATCAGTTTCATTCAGTAACAATGATAGCAAATATCAATGAAATACATTGGTATTAGCAATCGTGTGTGTAAAAAAAAAAAAAAAAAAAAAATCCTGATCACTTGCCCAGAATAGTTCGATGTTACTATGTAACATTGTATTGCTTTGGTCACAGTGCTAAAAAATAAATAAATAGAAATATATATATATATATATATATATATATATATATATATATATATATCTATCTCATCACTTAAATTATTTTACACATACTGGTCACTAGTTATGTCCCTGATCTCCGTGACACCAGTTATACAATAACACTGTACTGGACTGGTAAGTAAAAAAACCTACTTTTCCTGTTAAAATATAGGGTTTGGGCTATACTCGCCATATAAGACTACCCCTCTTCCAACGCACACCAAATAAAAATTAAAAAACATCAGATTTGATTTCAATATGGTAATTTTAATTTAAATGCTTATGACATACAGATACCTAGCAGGAAAACTGTCACTTATAAACATAAGGCTGTTTGTCATCAAAACATGCAAACATAAAACAGTGCAAGTGGATTAAACTTTTCCTAATTCACTCTAAAGCTGAAAGGAAGGATAAGACAATAAACCCATGGGAGCTGCCATGCTGTTTGTTTTCTAAGCAGTCAACCAAACTGGAACTGATGATGATAGGAGGAAGATAAACAATAGAGAGAGAGCAAGTGCTGGGCAAGTTCCTGGCGAGTCAGCAACGCCCATCATAACTGCAAGGTTTTGCTGGTGTGACAGTTTCCCTTTAAAAGCCTTCAAAATCCTCCTGTTTGTCATCTGATATCATAAGTACATCAATGACATCTTGTGATACATTTGTAAGGCAGTCATCGTATGGATCTAATTCCGTATCAGATGGTGTGGTCTCAGCTTCGGCTTCCTCTTCATCTTGCCACAAGTAGTCATCCTCCATACCATCTAATGAATTTGATATGCCACACTTCTTGAAAGACTTGATTACTGTTTCTGCATCAATATCATTCCAGGCTTTTATGACAAACTTGCACAAAACATCCAGCTGTGGAGAACGCATGTTTCCTCCTTTTGTGAATGACTTTCCGCCGCTAACCATCCACTCATTCCACTGTTCTCGAATGCGATCTTTAAATGGCTTGTTTAGGCACACATCCAGTGGCTGTACCAACGATGTCAATCCTGCAGGAATAACTGCAGCATCTGTGTTTATTCTTGCAAGCCTTTGCTTGGTGCTGGGAGTTAAATGAGCCCTGAACATATCCCACACCAGTAGACTACGTTTTTGAATAAGTCCACCTGGTCGCCTGCTCCATACATTATCAAGCCATAGCTTTACCCCTTCTTCATCCATCCAGCCTTTTTCATTCACATGTACAAAACAACCAACAGGGAACTTGAGTTTCGGGATTGTTTTTCTTTTAAAAATAATCATTGGTCTCAGTTTGGCGCCATCAGCTGTGCATGCTAGTACCACTGTAAAACTGGACTTCTCATGTCCTGTTGTTTTTAATTAAAATTGTTTTTTCACCTTTTGGATGGACAGTTTTATTTCCAACCATATCAAAATTCATTGGAGTTTCATCCATATTTCCGATACTACTTAACGCATAGCCATGTTTATTGCGCTGTTGTATTACGTATCGATGGAAACTATTTACTTTGGCATCAAGATCTGCAGGTAATTTTTGTGCAATTTTCATCTTTTGCCTCAGTGTCATATTTTGCCTTTCCAAGAATCTAGTACACCAGGATACAGTGGCCTTAAATCTGTTGCTGTGATCTGGGTTAGATTTGGCCCACTGAAGTGCAAACAAACTTATTTTATTTCGTGTCACTATATAACCGTTTTGGCGATGCTCATTAACCATGTCTGCTACATGTTTTTCGAGTTCTGGCCTATGTGGGGTGCCTCTTCTTAATGCACACTTACCCCATGGCATACTCTTTCATGCTTTTTCATTTGCTTTCCAGTCCCGAACCATCTTTTCTGTTACTCCATATTGTCTTGCAGCAGCAGTTATTTTGTTCCATGGCAAAGTTTACAACTTTAAGTTTGAAACTGGCTTCATATTTCTTTTTGAAACTGGCTTCATGTTTTCCTTCTTGCTGCTGTGGAGCCATGCTGGGGTCTTGACTGTTATCCATTTGTATACTGTACTGTATGTACTGGTGCTGTACTGTATGAACCGGTACAGATACTGGTGCTGTACTGTATGAACCACCACATGTATCTGCTCACTGTATGAACCAGACAGACTGTTTTTTCAGCACAAATAAGATGCACTCTGTTTTTTTCACCACACAAAATTCATTAGAGATGCGCTGTTCCAACATTCGAATTGGTTGAAGTGCAGATGCTCCTGCTTCCCCCTGCCTTCCCTCAGAATCGCCAATCCAACCCAGTATACAACAACCAACCAATCACGGCAAGCAATGTATTTTTTGTGCACACTGCATACAAAGCCTGCTTGGATTGGGTGGGTCAGCTCTCCCTGCCTGCCCAGCCCTCCCTATCTCCAAGATGAGCCGAGCGGTACCGTAGTTAGCACAGAACTGCCACAGTGAAGACATTATTATTATTATTATAATGAAATACGGTAATTAGCTAAGCATTAAGAAATTGCCACGAAGGGGTCAATTCAACAAGGTCGGATGCAGCAGTTGAGTGCTCGATTGATCGTGACTGAAACTGTGACACGTGCGCAGAAGCGTCAGGGATACACATCTTCATGGGCATACTAATCTTGCCGCTACCCGATGTGTATCCCTGACGCTTTCTCTGCATGTCACAGTTTCAGTCCAGATCAATCGAGCACTCAACTGCTGCATCCGACCTTGTTGACGTTCCATGCAGTTCTGTGCTATGAATGGTGATCGGCGATAGTCTACTGCTGCTGAAGACATGCGCAGAAGCGTCAGCTCGGAATTACCAGTATGGTTTCAGCACAACACCCGGGGTATAAGACAACGCCCGACTTTGTAGAAGATTTCCATGGGTTAAAAAGTCGTCTTATACGCCAGAAAATACGGTACCTTGGACTGTATTGTCAAAAAAATAAAAAAAATAATAATGGGTAATTTGGGGGCATTCAGGTTTTTTTTGTTTATTTAGCAAAAAATAAACTCAGTGGTGATTAAATACCACCAAAAGAAAGCACTATTTGTGTGAAAAAAAAATATTTTTTTTTTGGGTACAGTATGGCATGACCGCACAACTGTCAAAGTCTGACAACACTAAA